GAATGTTAGACTCCGGATATCTAATTCTTTGATCTTTCCACTTTACCTCTTACAAGATGAAAGGAAAACTCTACCCCTGTAGTCAGAGAGTGTGGCACAAGTACAGGGGTACTACAGACATTTATTTTACTGTAACCATCCCCAGGCCAACCTAGATTAAACAAAGTTTTGGCTGCAGTCTAGAAGAACTGGCTCTTCCTCTATCTCAGCCTTATTAATTATATCTGGCCTTGAAGCAGCAATCCCAAATAATTATGAGTGACAGTGTTTTCTGTCACTCATTCCCTTCCCACTCCTCGTCCTTGCTGACAACAGTCTGCTTTCTGTTCAATCTTGCACATTTTTGTCCCTTTGCTCAGGTGCTTCTGTTTTCCCCTCTATTCCCACTCTTGTATTTCACCAAGCATCCAAGCCTGCTGCTGGTTACACGCTACACTGTGTCCCAGAATGACCCTTTCCAAATTCTTTCCCACTAAGTCATTCAGCAAAATACAGAGAGAGCCTGTTACAATGCCACTCCACCCCAAGTGCTAGCCTGCCTTCTGCTGCAGAGCAGTTTGCCTCAAAGTCTTCTCCAGTAAAATTCCTACTCTGGAGAATGGAAAATTTCAGGCGCGTAACTTTCATAAAGTTACAGTGAAATGCAAACGGAGGAAATGAACAGAACCTGATTTACTGCTTTGGAAACCCTGACCCTCAATGTAACTTCTTGCCAGAACACGCCTGTCACGAAAATGTTACTTCCAAGCAAGTCAACATTGCCCCAAACAGTCTTCTGTCACAGCTCAGGCTAATCTAAGACCATTACCTGCTTTGCTCTTTTTAGATGCCTTTGGGCTTTTATTTATCACATTATAGGTATAGAAAAACACTTCCACAGCTGAAGCTTTTTGTATTTGCTTTTAAGCTCAGCATTTAAAGTGATTATAATTAAGTTATGTTAAGAGAATCAGCATTAGAGGAGAATATTGCTTAGAGTCAGACATTATCTCCACGCTCTGCCTTGTGTTCCAAGTTAACTCAATCTTGTCTGCTCAGCCTATTGTAAATTCTTCTGTCCAAAACCACACGTAAAGTCTGGCCTCTGCAATAGTGGAAAATATTTAAAAGACACATTTGAAGAAAACAAAATCTGTTTTCTCAATATAATAGTATTTCTCAGAAAGAAAAGTTTTTAAATTAGTATGACTCCTTAGTACTCTTATCAGTACCAGGAAACAAACCACCTACTTTGCAAATAGTTTAAGAACTGCATTCACAGTGCATTTTAAGGTAGCTGAGTTCCCTTTAAGGTGCACTCTGCTATGCAGTTCTGGAATTGGAATTTGAATCCTACCTTACATTGACCACTTAAGGGTGGTTATGCATTAACAGTTCTGGCGTCTCCCTTCTTTCATCTGTCCAGAAAGAACCCTCTTTCTGCCAGGCCTACAAAGCCTCCTTCAGAGGACAGCTCACCCTCTAGATCAACTAAGACCTTGGGAAAAAATTTACAAGACAAGAAAATCCCCCCTACGTTAGCCACTGTTTTTCCAAGTGCCCAAATGCATTTTCTGAATAGTTTTAAGCCACTCTTGGAAGGCAACAACTTTAAAACCATTACCTGCATGCAAGCATTGTAAAAACCATGAAAAAACCCAAAGAACAAACACACCTCAAGTGTCAAAATTTGGGTATAAGCCTACTTTTCTGTCCTCCCAGAACAGAGCAATAAGGTTTTGATCTACTATCTCATGATCTAGAAGTTTCTTGGAAACTTCTTTTTACTTTATTTGCAAATGGTTGCTTGCACAAGCACAGCAATCTTTCCTCCATCATGTGCTGCCTGCTTGGAAAGAACAAGTTTTCTACTGCTTACTTATTAAACAATCCCATAGGACCCTGAGCAGGCTTCATGTCTTCAACTGAGTAAGTCTTCTAACAGCCAAAATATACTGTCACTTCAGCAAAATAAAGACCAATTTAAACACTAGTATATTAACTATTAGACATAGTAAAACAACTCAATTTAAAGGAGGCTCAAGCAGACTCATCATCACACAGGTTCATCACACTCAGGTGTTCTACATGTGCACTAGCAGGAGAACAGCAGATAGCTAGCAGGGAAAAAAAAAAATGTAAGAAGTTAACATCAACACCAGACGATTTCTTGGAGGACAGTAATTTTCCTTGATTTTGTGTAATCTCTAGAGACAGCTGATATAATACAGTTATTAGAGCACTGCTGAAATAACCATCTCATTACACGCAGTAATGAAACTATTTTTTATTATAAGCAAAACCAGCTTTTATATCACCAAGAAACCAGGACCTATACACTTTTTGAAGAGCTACCCATGTAGGAACTGCTGAACTTGGAAATCAACTTGTGCTTCCAATTAGAGAGAGAAAAAAAAAGCATGGAGTGTTACAAAAAGAAACAAAACCAAACCCAAAAGTAATCAGAAAAACGCAGCCCTCATTAATTATGTGAAATTTGCCATATCCTGGTCCTTCCAGACAACAGTCACTGGCTCCAATTCACAGTATTCCAAAATAAAAAAGTGACTGCTAGTTCAAACTCTCTCAGTATTTTCTGCTTACCAGTTCCAGACATGCAGTTTGGCAAAGAAAATCTACTAGTCCACACAGTGTGCTCTTCAGAACCATTTTAGCTTTTCCTTCTCCCAAAAAAGAAAACAACACAAAGTCACTGAATACATATACTGCATCTTTGTGGGGGAAAAAAAAAAGGAGAAAAAAAGGGTGTCTGATGCAGTGAGAAAGTTACGTGGACAACTCATAGGCAACAGCAGAAGCTTATCTGGGAAGTCTGGAGAGAGGCAGGAAACCATCTTCAGTATTCTGCATGGAAAGGGTAATCCTTGTGAGTTTTGCACCTGAAGGAAATCAAAGAGGAAAGATTATCTCATGTCTGAAAAATACTCCATGCAGCTGTAACCACTGTAAAGAGCCACCAAGGGAGGAGCTGAGCTGTATAAAAGCAGAGCCAATTTGTGTCTTCCTTGGTGACATGCTGCATTTGTAAACAGATTTCTGAGTGACTTCTGTTGTTCAGGCTCTGACTATTTCAGGCAATGCAACCTAGGTGCTTCAAAGACAACTGATTCAAGGTTTCAGAGTTTACTGCCAGGAAGACCTTTTTTGCAGCCTTCCAACAAAAATTTCATATCTGTCTTTAGGCTTCCAAGTTGCAAATATTTGTATTACTTTCTGAATGTTCACCCACTTTCCTAATCACTCATAAGTAACATACAGTCAGTTTTTTATAATATACCTAAGAGTTATGTCAGAAAGACAAAATAAATTCCACAAGCAAAATTAATCAAGAATTTGAGTGTGCATCATGCTCATTTTTCCAATATAGAAAAAATAAAATTATGAATAAGAAGCCTCCTGTTGCAATTCCAGCTACAAAAGGTTTCTTGGACACCAAACTGAAAATGAACATGAAGTTTGCTTTACGCTTATCATGATTTGATTCATAACATGAACATTTAACATCTTTTCAAAGTAAGTTATTTTGAGGATGACTCCTTTGGAAACTGAGTTTGCATATCCTGAATTCAACCAGGCCTAGGATCTCTAACTTCATATGCTAAACTATGACATGCTGATAACTTAACGGCTTGAAAAAAGAAAAACATACTATCACTTACGTGGTCATTTCACAGGCTCTCCAGTTCCTATTAAAGCTGAGAATGGTTGCCATCTCCTCTTTCGTCAATTCAAAGTCAAACACCTAACAGAAGAAACAGCTGGAAATCACCTCTGAACAAATTGGAGACTGTATGTACAATACACAAAATTAAAGAGCAAGTCCACAGTATAAGGGTACTTATTAGAAATTACTGTTTCAGGAAAGAAGGAAAGGATAAAGACAGCTCTCTGGATTTCTGAGACTACACCAGCTGGAGCCGGGAAAGGAGACAAGCAGGGAGAGGGAGGAATTAAAAAAATACCAAGTTACAGTTACATGTGACAGTTGTTTTAAGAAGCTTGGAGAGCGCCAAGTGTTACAGAACACCTCTGTCCTCCATTTGTGAAATATGTGTCTTTCTATCCTATTTCGAAGGAGCATCTATGATACTTTCACATCCCACCTAATGGAACTAAGTATCTTCCAAAACCCTAATACTGGTTTCAGTCAAGGGCCACTGAATCAAGAGCAGCAACATGATTTATGGACACCAGAACTACTTTATTAATAGTGCCTGCTCTACATAAGCCTTCTGTGGCACGCTGCTGCGCTTGTGCTACAAGTGAGCTCTGTCAGCTGATTCATCCGCATGACATAAAACAGGAAGCATCACATCATGTGACTGCTAAGATTACCAGCACACTGTTTCCAAAAGCTTTGTACACTCCTGCCTTCCAACTGTAGCCTCAAGTTCAGCCCTCAGTAGACCACAAGTAAACATACAGACAGGAAAAAGCCCAGGCCTCTTGCCCAAGGAGGATTTAGGATGAGAAAGGATCCCTGCTTCTCTGCAGGAGGAAGCCATGCACCCAGCTCACTTCTAATGGCTCACCTTGAAGTTCTCCACAATGCGCTGTGGGGTGACAGACTTGGGAATCACAATCACATTTCTCTGGATGTGGAACCGAATGAGAACCTGCAAGAGGCACAGCACTGAGTCAGGGAGAGGACAGCTTTTGTTCTATGGCAAGCAGAGCCTGCTCCAACAGTTGTTTGCTGTAAACTGTACAGTTCAGCAGAACTGACCCATTTCTGCAGAGCTGCATTTCAAATCATACCTGAATTCTAAGCAGCACTTTCTGAAGTGCAAATACAGAAGTGGTGGAGCCCCATATAGAAGGCCTCCTTTCCCATTCAGCTGAGTGATACTCAATTCCTTTCCTTCCCATCTAGGCTTTCAGTAGGCTACACAAGGAAGAGATCACTTCTCTGCAACAGGACTTGAGATGGGAAGACTGAAACATGACAGTATCTGAAGGCAGGTCAAGAAAATGTTTCTTGTTGACTGTCAAAGAGCCCTTACAAGCATGCACTGCAGGCCACATAGTAAACAAACCTGCACTGCTATTTATCACCACAGAAAAGCATCGCTGCTAAAAAGGAATGAAGACCCAGCCTGTTCTCTACATTGTCATTAACTGTCCTTTATGCCATGTTACAGGAAGGTATGCCCATCATTTGGCACCTACATACCTGTGCTGGGGTTTTGTTGTGCTTGGCTGCAATCTGTTTGATCTTGGGGTCATCCAGAAGGGAAGGATCCTCTGGCTTAGCCCTGTACACACAAAAGAAGATCAATAGCAAGAAACCTCTGTAGATCCATCCTTGCAGAGATCTGTATCTGGATGAATAATTAAGAGTGCACTTGCAGTCTCAAAGTTTCAAGCATAATCCATGCCAGCTCCCTCACAAATTACAAGGCAGCCTTACCATGGTCTGTCAGGAGAGCCGAGAGGACTGTATGCAGTCACAGAAATCCCTTTGGATTGACAGTACTTGATCAGCTTCTCCTGGGTAAGGTATGGGTGACATTCCACCTGCCAACATAGGAGTACAAAGATTGACAGCAATTTAACTGCTTTAACATATTCCAGAGGTTAGTTTTTAATCAAAGGTTGATTTTTGTTCTTAGTCTCTGTGCAGTATTACACAGCCTTTGTTTTCTGCATGTCTCCACTCCCTTTCTACTATTAGTAGCAGTTCTCCTTGCAGTGAAGGGTCCAAGGACTAGAACACCACTCCTTAAAACTTTGCTGATCCACATAATCTCCAACATATGGGATCACTAGCTACATAACTGATTAAGTGGCATCAGTTCAGTAAAACACACACATAAGATCTGTAAAATCATAACAATAGGATAGCAGACCAGTAAGTACAAAGTTCTCTTTTCATCTCTAACACATAATAATGTTCTTTTACAACTACCACATTAACTTCAGCACCAGTGTGATTTCATTCACCTTTATTTGCTTTGTGTCAATACTCATGCTGAATACCTCCAGTCTGCAAACAGCGAGAATGGCTAACTGCTTTACAGTCTTTTTATAAATGCATGTGCGATTACCATGAATTGCAGTAAGAATATCCACATAACAAAATACAGACGCCTTAACAGTGGATCTATGTTTTGGCAAGCTAATGCACAGATATGCAGTATGAAAAAGGAATCATTCAAGTGTCAGGAAGCAGTGAATGAACGTGAATATTTGATCTTTTGCACAGAGGGACTTTCAGGATAGTTCCACACCAGGGAGCACTACTTTTCTTTCAGCAACATCAAGAACCTTTCTGACTACACTGTCATTGGAGCTGTCTGCAGTCTACTGCTGCATTCTGAGGGAAGTCCCTGGAAACTTGTGCTGCTGGCAGGTGGAGCAAGAGAGTGCAAAACATGGCATCAGTTTACAGTCTCAAGCTCTTTATTTGTGATTCTAGCTGCTTGCTGTTATGAGAAGCCTGCATGGCCATTTCCCTTCTGGGGCATGTTGGAATATTAGACAACATGACAGACAACTCAGTTTTTGGGACAGATTATACATGTTTATTTTGCTTCAGCAGCTCCAGAAATACAACTACTCAAGCATAACAGAATTATCTGTTAATCTGTTTTCACAACTATTCAACAGGTGGAATTTATGTAATACAAGTGAGACAAAGTCATCCTTACCTTTCCACTGGCCCTCAAGTTGACTTCTGAGCTACATTATCTAGTCTTATGTTTGGATCAGGGTGAAAAAACCTATGATGTACATTTAAACAAGCACCTTAAACTGCTGTAAGCTATACTGTGTGATAATGACCAAGTACTTAGGAGACAGATTTCCTGACTGAACTAAGAACTAGTATAATTGTAATTTAATTACTACCTTACCAAATTAATTTCTCACCATGAATGAAAACAATGTGCACACTGACTGCATTCAAATTAAGAATGGGAACGACACCAAATATAGGGCCTTACTGGATTACACATGAAACAGCTGCATAGAAAAAGTGTCTGCAGGATGCACTATCACAGAATCACAGAACGTTAGGGATTGGAAGGCACCTCAAAAGATCATCTGGTCCAATCCCCCTGCCAGAGCAGGAACACCTAGATGAGGTTACACAGGAAGGCATCCAGGCAGGTTTTGAATGTCTCCAGAGAAGGAGACTCCACAACCTCTCTGGGCAGCCTGTGCCAGTGCTCTGTCACCCTCACTGAGAAGAAGTTTCTTCTCAAATTTATTAGTTATCATTATTAGGCCAACTGCTAAGTGTTAGTAACAGACAAGCTTTCAGGGTTGCAAGCATTTCTTTAAAAGCAGTAAGTTTTAAAGGACAAAGACCCATTGCTCTTGATTACAGTAATGAGAAAGCTTAAGAACATGTGCAAGTGTGAGAGATACAAGGTCAGTGACCTCTATGAAAGAAACAATGGTAATTATCAACTACAGTCACAGTGGCAATGAGGTGTGGCAGCTGTTGAGAGGTATCATAAGACTTCCACTAAGTAGCCTAGTAGTACATTGGGACTGATAATGAAAATACACAGTAGAGAATTATGAATTTTGCACTTGTCAGAATGTTTCAGTTTTCTGTTGAATAGAATTCCAGAGAACAATCCTATTAGCTTTCTGAAAAAGGTGTTAAAATCCCTTTACAGTACCTATGCTGAAGCTACCACAATAAACTAACCAGTTCTTGTAATGGGGTATCAATACCTGAGACTGCAGTCTTTCAAACACCATAGCAATCAAGGACAAGTCTAGACAGACCCCACAGGGGTCTTGCACCAGGCTATAATCTTGTCAAGTTTGCAGGTGATGCCAAATTGGGAGAGGACCAGTCAATACACTCAAGGGCAGGGCTGCCACTTCAGAGGGACCCCCACAGGCAGGAAGAACAGGCCAGCAAAAAACTGTATGAAATTCAACAAGGCTGCACACAAAGTCCTTTGATTTGGGAAGGAAAAGCCCCTGGGAATAACACAGGCTGGACCCTGGCTGCCTATGCTAGAAATGACCTGGGGGCCGTAGTAGGCCAAGGTGAATATGAGCCAGTCGTGAGCCCTGGCAGCAGGAACACAGCCAGTAAATTGTGTGAAGCCATCATCTGCCTCTACTCAGCACTTATCAGACCACCTTTAGAATACTGTGTCCAGTTTTACCCCTTCTCAGCCCCCTCAGTAGAAGAAAGATTGAGAGACTGGCATTAACTCATTAGAAGATGGCCTGGGGCTGGAGAACCTGCTGTGCTGGGAAAGGCTGAGGGAGCTGGGCTTGTTCACCCTGGGGAAGGGAAGGCTTCAGGTCTCCTAGCAGCAGCTTTTTAACACCCAAAAGAAGGTCATCCTAAGACAAGCCAAGTTCTTCAGCAGTCCTCTTTAGTTCCCTCAGTCATCAGCAGCACGAACTGGCCTGTCCATAAAAGAGTTGCAAAAAACTCATCCGATTCTGTCAGGTCCTTAAGTAGCTACTGCTAAGTTCTACTCCAAGGTAGTTTTAAAGCTCATCCGAGTTACTCCCTTCCAAAAAACGGGATTCTGGAGCTGCTTCTTGCTACATTTCCAAGCAGTAGTACAGAAAGTCCATAAGAAACCCCAGCATCTTGTGCATCCAGAAGTAGTTAAAGGGTGGGATTGAGAGAACATGCTACATCTACTGCACTTTCTCTTTCTATAACCTTATTTCATAATAAGATCTTAGTAAATATTTAGAAAAGGCCCAACATCCAAATATTTGCCTGCAGTAACTTAGCAGGTTACCTGGTTATTGGCAGGCTTGTATTTCAGTCCTGGCTTGTTCAAGATTCTTTCGATCTGCTCATGGTTAAAGTTGGAGATACCAATGGCTTTTACCAGACCAGCATCCACCAGCTCCTCCATGGCCTAACAGAAAGAAGCATAAAGTCAGCACCTAGTATACATGACAGAGCCTGAAAAACACGTTCTTCCTGACATGGCTTAATTCATTCATGAGAAGCACAAAATAAGCACTTAGATTTCCAGAATTCAAGTCCAAAAGGAAAAAAAAAACAAACCCAAAACAAACAGAGCACTAGTGTATTTGTGCCATGTCTCCCATTTCACCAAAGCTCAAAGACACATTCTTTGAGACTGTGGAAATTCACAGAAAGTTAAAAGTGGAAAATAACGATACCCAGCAGTTCACTATTGTACCAGTGACTCCTTCCAAGTAGCTCTGCATACATGAGACAATTTAGACAGCTGAAGATAATTAAAACATGGAAGAGACTGCTGAGGACAGAAGACCTGATTCCCCTGCTGTGACTGAACTTACTTCCCACGTATGCAGAATATCTGTGTTGCTGGGTATTGACATGCCTTTGTCGTCTGTGGGAAACAGCTCCTCTCCTGCCTGTCAGAGACAAAAAAAATCCTTGAAACACTCTTTGGTGGGAAATTAGGTTAATCACAGCTAAAGACCACAATACCACAAACTCCTACTGTGGACATACTTACACTTATTCTCTACATATGGATTAGATAATACTGGTATTTATTATTTACATTCTTCAGTCTTCTCTTTTGCTTTTACATAGTATTATGGCATTTTTGTCAGCAGCCATCTCAATAAGGGCAGGTGCTTCTACTGGACTCAGTGTTCTCTGGTTCATCAATATACACATGGGGAAAATGCAACTCTCCACATGTGGAATTATAGCCAGTTTACAAGTTTACTTTCTGTATTATAAAAAACCTACAGTTCTTATACAGACAGAAGGGAATATTTTATTAACATGTGTAATAAGGAGCCACTTAGGACCTGAAACACGTTCAACCCATATTGGACCAGAACTGCTGACAGGTCTTTCGCAAGGAGGCTCATTGTTTAAGTTGCTGGCACAAGGAATGTTAAAACAGCCTGTGTCCCAGTTAGGGCCTACATGCCAGGAATAAAAAACAGGTGTTTTCTACTGATAGATTACTATACCGCAAGACATTTTCACTCTGTTAGTTCTTTCAATTTGAAACTATTTTTAAAAATACAGATGCTATGAAAAGCAATTGACCTCAGCAGCAACAAATAAAAAGACGACTTTGATCCGTCTCTAACAGAAAGACTAAGCTTAGAAATATTCAAATCGGTTCCTTTGCATGCAGTCAGTAAGAGTTACTAACTAAAAAGCTTCACCTTTTGAAATCCAAGGTCTGTGGAACACTAAGGCTCCTACAGTAAAGGTCAGTTCAATCTGTACCATATTAAAGGACTTAGTGATTAAAGACAGAAATAGAAGACAGAACCATTTTCTTGTTCTATGATGCTGTAACATGCAGAGGAAAAAACTCTGTCAGACAGCAAAGCACAGACCCATTTTCACACAAAGGGAACCACATCATCATCAGCCGAGCACACTGTGGATACATGAAAGACAATACATAGGCAATAACCAAAAGGAGAGCAATATAACTCATGCTTGCAGCAGCCAAACCCGCCCCTAGTTCAAGGTCCACCTCTCCTGTGACCAGAAGGGCAGACGATGCTGTGGAGGCAGCAGCCTCAGAGGTAGGGATCAGCAGCCTGGCTCACATGTAAAGCTGTGCACCAGAGCAGTGCTGGTGCACAACAGACATGATGATCTGCGTTGGCTGAAGCAATTACTGGGCTGTAAAGCCATACAGCTCTTCAAAACTGCCAGTCAAAACAGACAAAACCAAAAGCACTGCTGTTACTGTACCTTAAAACCAAGAGGCCAGTGGATGAGGTAGAGATCCAGGTAATCCAGTTTCAAGGCTGCAAGAGTCTTCTGGCAGGCTCCCTTCACCAGAGGCTTGTCATGAAATGTGCACCACAGCTAGAGACAAAAAGCCAAGGCACACCATGACTTCCTAGGGTAAGCCTCTTGGAACACTTTGGTCCTGTTCAGAAGGGCGCCTGTCCCCTCTGGATGGTGACACAGAACTAGGTCACCCTACTGATCTTCAAACAGGGCTTGCTCTGTGAGACAGGCTGGCTTATAACACTAAGGGCAGTATGTGCAGTGGCAGCACACATGACCAAATGTTATCACAGCAGAAACAGTCTGGTTCCACTAATTAAGACTGCATTTGAAATCACCTACTTGAAGGTCAAATACTGCATGCAAGAGGACAGTGTAACTTTCACGCCAGGAAAAGTTCAAAGTATCACCCGCATCAGTGGGACATACCCTGCTTAATTCTCCATATAGGATGGAGCAAAGTAGGAAGCTTGTCTCAGGAGTGGCCTAAGTAATGTTCTGAATTGTTCCATATGCTGTAGCACAAAGTAGGCAAGCAAAGAACTGAGGGGTTACTATGAAAAAGTAAGCATCTTGTGGGATTCATACCTTACTGACAACAAAGAGGTCCTCCCGTTTCACAACGCCTTCCTTGATTTTTTGCTGGATCCCATCCCCAACTTCATTTTCATTTTGGTACACATAGGCACAGTCAAAGTGACGGTATCCAGCATCGATGGCAGCCATCACTGCAGCTGCTACTTTCCCTGGCGGGGACTGAAAAAATAAGATCCAAAAAACTCTCAGGCAAAAATATATTAAAGACCTTTTGCCTAGCAAGAAAAAATTAAGCAAGCCACCCCACCCAAAGTAATCTCCCCAGTAAAGTAAAGCAGAAAATACCTACAGCATAAAACAGTTTTTGAGGAATTCTTGAGTTTGCACACATCTTAAGTACAGGCTCCTGAGCTCAAAGCCAGTCCCCGGCCGCTCTTCTGCCACCCACTCCCAGGCACGGCTCAGCCCCACAGTTTGGCAGAGCTGAGGCCCAACACCAAGGCAGCTCTCCAGGGCCAAAGCCCTTTCACTTCCCTACGCCCCTGCTCACAGGAGCCCCCGGCAGCTACCAGCCGCGGCGGGGGGCTCAGCCCAGCTGGGGGGCCTTATTCCAGGCCCTAGGCAGAGCCCAGCAGCAGTACAGGAATTCGGGCTCCTGCG